GCCCGTGGCCCGCGCTGACAGACGAGACACAAGGGAGCACGGATACACTTTATTAACGACAAGGGCAGCAGCGAGCCCGCGCGGAGGCCTCTACAGCAGCCTGCGGAGCTCCTCGAAGTTGAGCAGGTTGTTAGCTGTGTCGGACCAGGCAGCGTGCGTGGCCCCATCCATCTCGGGGGCCAGGCTGTTGGTGCTGTCCAGAGTGTGGTTTGTGCCACCAATATCCGCACGGCATTCGGGGCACTTGCTCCTCTCCATCGCACCCCCGCACTCCCCAATGACATAGATGTGCCCATTTTTGCACTTGAACCAGTGACCGCGGGGACAGCCAATAGCACTGACAATCTGCACCCGCTCTGCTTCAGAGATCCCCAGCCCTGACACAGGCAGGGCACTGCAGAGCTTCTCTAATCTAGCCTTCACTGCAGCCTCATCCTTCTCTGTGAATTTCTTTGTCCCTTCCAGGATCTCACGTACACTGGCAATCTCTTCTGCAAGGGCTGGGGTGATCCTCCCACTTGCACCTTTGCACCTTGCCAAGAGGCTCATCAAGTAGGTCAGTCTCTGGATCTCAGCCTGCAGGTCAGAGAGCTCCTGCCCTGTAAAACTGAGGCGTGGCTTATCCAGCCAGTCCTGGACTTCATCCAGACGCTTCCTCAGCCCTTTCCTCTCACTTGCATCAATTTTGCTCATCGAATTGGTCAGATCAGCTAGACGGTCATAGAAGTTAAGCTGGTTCTCAATTAGTCCAATACTCTTTGTGGACAGAACAGAGGCTCTCAGTTTATCTTCCAGCATAAGGTACTTAAGGGGTAGATTCCTCTGCAGAACAGCATTCTCTGCTAGTGCAGCCTGCAGTCTTTGTCTGCTAGATTCAATTTCCTGTACTGGGCCTTGGATTTTCTCTTTCACTCTCTCTATCTCATCCAGACGCCTTTGCACAATGGTGCCATATCTCAAATTCTTTCTGATAGGTGTCTGACAGACAGGGCACACCTTCAGCTTGATAACATCATCATCTTCATCCATATAGTGGTCAAGGCCTTGGGACTCAAAAACATGGCCACAGTCTTCAAGCTGTACAAACCGAGCATCTGGATCCTCCTCAAAGCCAAAAAAGATCTGCGTGACTTCTTCATGGTCACAGACAAGGCACTTCTGTGGGCAGGGCTCTCCACACAATCCAATACAAGGGTGTCCACAGTGCAGTAATTTAGTACACGGTACATTGCAACGAGGCCTATTGCATGGCTCAGAGCAAAGATTGGTACACTGATAGTGCTGACATCGCCACTCACATGGCTCTGCACATGGAAAACAGCGCTCTCCACATTTCTTTTTACATCTGCTGTGAATGCAGTGGTTCTGACAGTCCAGCTGACATGGAGGGCATTCGGTAGTACAAGGCTGCTGACACTTGTGGGAGCAGACTAAGAAGCGCTTGCATGGGCTGTTACACGGCTTATGAAATCTTCCTTCAAAGCAGGAAAAGGAATGACAGGAACCCGAGCATACATGACCACACTCCAGCGTGACAGAACACTTAGTTTTACATTCCACAGGCATCCCCTGTTTCATCTCCTCAGTGATCCAGCACTTCACTTGCTGGATGTGGCCACATTTCAGTGCAACTGAAACCAGCTCAGGAAACCTTGTAGTGCATTCCTGACCCCAGAATTTGTTGCACCTGTGCCCACAGTTCAACTTTTTCTGACAAGGTTCTTGGCAAAAAAACTCAGTGTCTGGAGTAGAGCACGGCACCATCTGTCGGTGGCCACACTTGGAAATAATTTTCTCAACTTTCACCATGCAGTGTCCACAGGGCTCATAACACAACTGCGGACAGCGATGCCCGTTTGTACAAAGCACCTTTTGACAAGGCTTCAGGCACTGATACTCTTTGTGCTGTGTGTCATACGGGTGACATGCCCTTGTGCAAACATGTCCACAACTCAACCTAAATTCACAGGGACGACTACAACCTCCTTCTGGGACTTTGCTGAAGTCTGCTGCAGTAGATACCAGTGTCTTGGTTTCAGGGTGGTTTTGGCAGCAAAGCATCAAGGAGCGGCCAATGTGGCCTTTCTCCCGGAGGGTGTGAATGATCTTGCTCCAGAGAGGAACCTTGCCAAGCATTCTCATATTTCCAATACAATACAACCCTTTCTTAGCTCTGGATAATGCTACACATATCCGATTAGAGATCTGCAAGAACCCTGATCTCTCCTCTTTGTTGCTCCGCACAAGCGACAGCAGGATAATATCATTCTCTTGCCCCTGGTATTTATCCACTACATGAACCTTCACACCTGCAAAGGTCTTGGCCGGCATGAGCTTACGCAGACAGAAAAGCTGCCCAGTATAGGTAGTAAGAATGGTGATCTGAGAAGGTAGATAATCCTGACACAAGAAATACTTGCACAATTCCACTACAAACTGGGCCTCATGTGGGTTCTGGTGGCTTTTCCCTTCCTGGATCTCTTGCTCAGGAAAGTCATGCTCCACAAAGAAGAGGTTAGATGAGACCCCCTGAAACAAAAGAAAAGAATCTCAGAAGTAGAATTCTACCTTCTGTCTCTACAGCCTCTTCCCATATCTCTGATTATCCCTTACTAAGATTCTTTAAGTATGCAGTAACCACATCCTGTAGTCCTCTCCTAAAATAATTGCCTCTTAGATTTCCATAGTATATTCATCAGAGGAGACTGTGAGCTGATTAGTGACATTTCCAGTAGTCACTCAATAGTCATCAACTGCAGGGGTTTAGTGAGTTATCTGCTCACCTGTCCAAAACTTCCATTTGCCTTGGGTTAATGGGGACCTTCATTTTTTTGCCTATTAACTGGAATTCTTCCACCCACAAAGAATTCTTGGGCTGTTATACCAAAACACAGAGACTGCTTTTTTCAGGAAAGAACACTTTTCGTGGATCACACACACATCTCTGGTTTTCCAAGGTGACCATAGCTGCAGTAACTGCTGTATACTTTAATCTAGTTGTCACCTCTGTTGGTTACTGTACTAGATAAGAATCTAAAATGATAAAATTATCATATCTCAGTTTTTTGTTTTTTTTTTTTTTAAAAAAAGGTCAGATGGGATCATAACATTCTCCAGAATAGCTTACCTTATAGGAGACCACAAAATTTTATCCTGTTTCTCCTGACCTAAGTAGCTATTTTTAAATAAGGCATCTTCTACAAAATACTTCATCTGGATTTGAAGATACAAAGAAGGGACATGCAACTTTATCCTAGAGACAGCTTATTCTAGTAAGTAATCATCCTCACTATTCATTTTCTCCTGCCTGGCTTCAGCATTTTACAGTGGTTTTTGGTACACCTATCTCATTCACTTAAAGAGCTTTCATTAACGAGTACTGTCTTTTCACAAAGAGATCTAAGTAGACTAAGTTACTGTAATCCTCTCTGTAACCACCTCTAATTCTTTCTCCCAGGGTATTCAGTTGCTTGGGTTCCAAGGATTCAAGACCTAGCTCGGACACAGCATTGCTGTCACCTTGACTCAGAATTCTGAGGAAATTGTTAAGTTGTGACAGAGGGCTGTGCAAAAGTCTGCAGAACAGGGCTATGCAAGATAGGGCAGGTAAAAGTTACATAGGTACGATTGTTACTAGTTCAAAGATAAAAAGATAAGCACTAACACAGAAAGGTATAAAATCATAACTGGTGTGGGGCAGGGAAATAAAAAAAAAAAATCAGAAAGGAGGGAGTTAGTGGAAAATGGAAGCTCAGTAATATTGAGGAAGCAGCAGAGGCTGACCTTTCCTCTTCTGATTGAGGCCTGCCTGACTTGCAAAGACATTTCAGGCATCTTATGGTGAGGCAAGCATACCAATGCTCAGCTTAATAAATCATTAAATTCTAGCTGTTTGGTTGCACACGTTAGCTAACAACGATTAGTTTATACTTTTAAACTGCATAGATCCTGCTTGCAGATTTTGTGTACACGTAAAGGTGCCAAAATAAAGAACCCAAGTAATCAAGTCACCTATCTTATGAGGGAGCTTCACAAATTATGCTCTAAGTCTCTCGTTTAAGATTTCTTCCTAGCTTTCAATCACATACAACTCTTTTGGTCCATCTTCCTTTTTGTCTGTTCTTTTACAGTCTTCAATACTGGATCCATTTACAATGCCTACAGTTGCTAATGCCAGACAAAGTTACATGTTATTTGCCTAATTCTGTATACCTTGTTTCCTTGATTTACATATCAGTTTCTTTAGCTGAACTTGATTTAAGAAGTTAAAATCCTTAAATACTATTCTACAGAAACTTGTTTTAGCCAGTTACAGAGGACAAGAGAAAGTGCTTGACTGCTGAAAACTCACTTTTATGTTTTCATATTTCAGGACAGATGGATGGTTCTCCAGCTCCTGGTATATGTGGGGACTGAGAAGCTGGGCAATTTCAGGACGCATGCGGTGCTGAAACACAAAGCAGCAGCCTATCAGTCTTGAGGAAGAAGCACCATATTTCCCTGCCAAGAATCTGTTGTTTCACTGTAAAGACAGCGGCCAAATGCAAGACAAGGGTGACTTTCCAGTAAGAATCAAGATGAGAACCCTCCCTCCAACAGCAACTTCAAGGTGAGTGTTACCAAAGTACCTTCATGAAAATCACTTGGCAAGGCTGTTGTAATAAGCATGCTGGTCTCACTGCAATCTAAGGAGAACAGGGTTCTAGATAACAAAATCCAGCACCTCACCCTAACCACTACATGATCTCTTCTAGAGAATTTTAAATCCAGGACTGCTGGAGGAAGAATCAATTTCTCCAGATACCAAAAAAAAAAAA